ACCCTAACACTTCTTGAGGAAAGGATAGTCGGTAGATCACAATTTTGCTTAATTTTAAGATACAATGCTCGGGATCCTTTTCATATATTTTGATATTTATGCTCAGAGATGATTAACCACAGCAAATGTTGAACAAATCATCCAGAACCTTCACGATATTTTGATATAACACAAGTGAGGAGGATCATGGGTGCCATACTGAATAAGCATGTCAGTGTGCTGACTTCTACCACATTCATTTCATGGGCAAACTTGCAGGAGTATGTATTAAGTATTAAGTATGAAGTATAAAAAGACACAAAGTGACATGTGAAATAAATCACAACAGCACCAGCCACTAACCAAGGACCATGGCTCATCTATGAAATCCAAAAACTGGCACTGCATGGGCCTCATCCAATTTAAGTGTGAAGCCAAATGTCACCATTACAAAGAACCATTTGTGACTTTCCAGCTATTCACATGGTTGCATGGCCTTGCATGCATGATGAAAACAAGACCACTACACCACGTTTTTATCAAACATTGATAAAAGTTCAGTGTTCAACGTGTGCACAAATCACAGCCTACAGGTCACTTTAAATGGGAACGGAGAAACCAAAACAATGATTTAGACACAGGCATAGTTTTCCAGAAATATGCGAGACAGCTAGAGCTAGAAGGTCAAACCTACCTAATTATGCACAAAGCACAGACATTACCTGGACTGACCGACTGTCTTCAAAGCTATACAAAGTTTGGGCCACGGTTCTCCGGCCAACACCGTCGTCCATACACTCGACCACGGCGATCGCGCTTTGGGAACGCTCGGTGTGCCCCAGTCTCAAAAGGTGTGGCGACGGCGATTTGACTGCAACGACCGCCCGCCCGTCATGACGTCATGCCGGATTGATGACCGCTCCGCCCAACGAAGCACGCAAAAATATGGTTTCCAATCGAGCCCCACAGCCACCAACTGCCCCCAGCGACGCGACCAGCCAATAACCAGATCCCCGCTGTTCAACGTCTAAGGCGCGCAGCCCCCTTCCTAGGCATTTCTAGCCAGAGCAGCCTCTACTAACCTACTAACAGTCCCTACCTACGACCTCTGACGTAATCCGTTTTGGCAACACCGTGCCTGGTTCCACGCAGGGCACCCATCCGTGAAACGTCCCACCACTGAACATAAGTCACGAATTCACGCATATCTTGCCTTTACCTATATTCAGCCCATTACCAGGAAACATGCTCGCACAACTGTTGAAGAGAAACAATCACGTTTGACTGATCTGAATCAAGCGACTTTAGGGTCAAAATACGGCAAAGGCTACCACGCTATACGGCGACACATGTCAGGGGCGCGGCATTTGAACACGAATAATATCACCGGTTTATGCCACGCGATGATCAGACCCCCAGTATGACTTCGTCTGGCCCACGTCACCGCAGGCCGAACCACGATCAACTGTTGAAGAGGATTGCATCCGACGCGCTACCAGCCAATACAACTATGGCAAAATCGGAGTGGACGGGGCTGGAAGTTCAGCCAGCCCTAACACCCAAACTGGCCAGTGCAGCTGGCGGCGCTACACCGGTGACGAGCGTACCAGTCGCCATCCGCTGCTTTCTCTCTGTCCCTCTTTCTCACCGCACAGCATCATGCACGTAGCAAAACACACCCACAGAGGGGCACTAAAACAAAATCAACAGGGGGAAGGTGGGCGACACTTAACCTCATCCGTCGCGCAGCAGCGCCTGGCTTGGCCGGCATCGAAACACCAGCTTCTTCTTTAGCATTGGCCGCCCGCTTGTGAGGCGGCAGGGCCCATAGAGCATGCTCAACAAATAAAAAACGGACATGTGCGGGCACGACCTGAGAGCGAGCCCGCGAGATCTCTCAACGGAATAAAGGCCCGAACCAGCAGGCCTTTTTGATGCAGCCTTCCTTCACTGGGCATTGAAGGAATACTGCCTCAAAGCTGATACAGTCTCCCTTCAATGACCACCGCACCCCAACTGCCGTTCATGCGAGCATATCGTGACCGATCGGACCGGGGCCACCGTGAATAGTACATAATGACGCATCCGCGACTGTGGCAACTGTGTCCACGCCAAGGTCAACACAAGTCGGCTGAATGGTCGCGCCGCATTAGCCACCCCGACGATACGTCAGCGACGGACGCCCAAGGCGGCGCACAGTCGTCGCCAGACGCGCGTCAAACATGACGTCACCGTACCACAATTCGCCCGCAGTTGGGGTCCTGCGCCCGTCACACGACGGAACCGTGTACACGCAACGCTCTCTGGACGAGTTCAGCTCCCGCTGTAGCACCAGCTGGGGCCGTAGTTGGCCCTCTCTGCCGTGCCAACTGGCAGAGCCTGGCGGCAGCCCTGGGTGGGACGGTGGTCTGAGCGGCCAGCGAGCAGGCGCCGGCCAGTACGCGCGAAGACGCACCACTGCTCCTCGAGGTACGCCGCTCGCCACCTCCAAAACAGCTTGCCTCGTTCTGACCGCGCTCTGCGGCCAGCTACTTGCCGAGGCCGAGCAGCGCCTCGTCCATCAGCTCGTCGTCGATGACGCACGGCGAGTGCTGGCTGGCTGTCGAGTGCGGCGAGACGAGCGAGAACTGGTGCGGCGAGGCCGCCGGCGCCGGGCTCTTGACGATATGAATCTGGACGGACGGCGACGGCGGAAAGGAGGCGCGCGGCACCGGCGGCGGCCGCGGCGGCGGCGGCGGCGGTCGCGGCGAACCGCCCAGGTCGATCACCAGGCCACTGCCGTCGACCGGTGAGCCGGACTTGGGCGGCGGCGGCCGTGCCGCGGGCGGCCACAGCTCCGCCGGCGGCGCGGCCGGCCGCTCGGCCGCCGGGCCCGGCTCGGCAGACTCCGGCTCGGTCGGCGGCCGCTCGATCTTGCGAATCTCGAGCGACTTGGGCAGCGGCGGCAGGTCGCTGCCCACCGCCAGCTCGGCCGCCGACTTGTCCGACTTAGGCTTCTCCGGCTTGACGCGCACGCCACCGGCGCCGTCCGGCCGCTGCTTCAGCAGCTTGGCCGACAGGCTCTTCTGCAGACTGTTGAGGCTACTGGCCGGCATCTTGCTGTCGGCGTCGACCTGTTTGGGCAGGGCGAAGGCCTTCTTGGAGGCGGGCCCGCTAGCGACGCCCGGCTTGAGGCCGGACGGCGAGTTCCGCTCGCTACCGTCCTTGACGACGGGCGTGCGGCCGCCGCTGCCGCTCGGGCTCGACGAGGACGAGCGCGACTTGGTCTTATTGATAGTCAGCTTGATGCCCTCCGGCGACGGCTTGACGGTGAACTCTGCCTTCCTGCCGTCCTTGCCGGGCGCGTCTTTGGCGGCACCCTCGTCTGCCGACGCCAACGTGTTCAGCTTGCTGATGACGTCGCTGAGCGAGCCCTTGCGTGCGCGGCCCGGGGACTTGGATTCGGCGGAGGCGGTGCGCTCGCCGCCGCCGGCGGAGCCGGGCGACGGCGCGGGCCGAGAGCCGGAGCTCTCGGCTTCGCGTTCGGGCCGCGGCCGGTGCGACTTGAGCTTCTCTTTGCTGCTCTTGTCACGACTCTTGCCCGTCGAGCCGCTGGGCCGGCTGAACGCCTGGTGCGAGGGCGACGGAGAGCGGAGCGTTGACAGGCTCGGCTTGCCCGAGCTCGGCTGCTTCGGCGACGACGCGTGCTTCGGGCTCACGCTGGAGTGCTTCGGCGACGACACGTGCTTCGGCGAGACCGAGAGAAACGGGTGTTTGGCGGACAGGGACTGCGAGGACGACGACGAGGACTTGGACTTGCCCGGCACGGGGCTCGACGACTTGCTGCCACCGGACGAGCCGTGCGGCTTGCTCGGCGAACTGCCGGCGCTCGAGGAGTGTCTCTTGGTCGGCGGCGAGGCGGACGAGCCCTGCTTCATGGCCAGCGGCTTGCCGCCGCCCTCGCGGCTCCGGTCGCGCTCGCGGCCGGGCGGGCCGCGGCCGTCGCTGCGGCCGCCAGCCGGTGATTCGTCTCGGCGTCGCTTCTTCTCGGACCGCTCGCGGTCGCGCCGCTCCCTACGCCGCTCCTCCTGCCGGCTCGGGATGGCCGTGATCGTCAGCGACGACGGGATGTTGGCGGGCGCACCCCCCGGAAACGAGAAGATGTCCACCGGTCGCTTCTCAGACGCGCCGCGCGCGCGCTCGCGCTCCGCCTGACGTGCCGCAGCGTCGACGTCCTCCAGGTCTGAGGGGGCGCGCGCAGGCTCGGCTGGCTCCAGGCGTGGCGACGACTCGGGCGGGCGGCGTGCACGCTCGCGCTCCATTTGGCGCACGGTGGCCTCGATGCTCTCCATCTCGGAGGGGCCAGCCGGTGGCGGCGGTGGCGGCGGCGGCGGCGGTGGCGACGGCGGAGAAAGCGCGCGCGGCGGCCCGTCGGTACGGCTCCGCCGGCTCGCCCGCTGTCTGTCGTCGCCAGACGGCGGCGCGTTCGGCCACAGCGCCTCTAGCTGGTGTATCGTGAATGGCGGGTAGCTGCCGTAGCCGCGCGAGGCTTGCGGCTCGCCGGTGCT